TAGTATGGACATTTTAACAATGTTAATTCTTCCTATCCATGAATGTGGGACATCCTCCCATTTATTTGTGGTTTCAATGTCTCTTAGTTTTCTGAGTACAGGTCTTTTACCTCCTTGGCTAAATTTATTTCTAGGCATTTAATTCTTTTTTTTGATGCAACTGTAAATCGGAATATTTTCTTAATTCCTCTGATAGTTATTGATGTATAAAAATGCAACCAATTTCTGAGTATTAATTTTGTATCCTGCAACTTTACTGAATTCATTTGTTCTAATATTTTTTTGGTGAAATCTTTAGGGTTCTCTATATATAGTTTCATGTCATCTGCAAATGATGACTATTTTACTTCTTCCTTTCCAATTTGGATGCCTGTAATTTCTTTCTCTTTTCCAACTGCTGTGGCTAGGACTTCCAATACTATGTTGAATAAAGTGGTGAAAGTGGACATCCTTGTCTTGTTCCTGATCTTAAAGAAAAAACTTTCGGTTTTTTACCATTGAGGTTATTAGCTGTGGGGTTGTCATATATGGCCTTTATTATGTTGAGGTACATTCCCTCTATCCTCATTTTGCTGAGGGTTTTTATCATAAATGGATGTTGGATTTTGTCAAATACTTTTTCTGCATCTATTGATATGATTATATGATTTTTGTCCATTTTATTTATGTGGTGTATCATGTTAATTGATTTGCAGATATTGAACATCACAGAAATAAATCCTATTTGTCCATGGTATCTAATTTTTTAAATGTATTGCTGAATATGGTTTGCTAATACTGAGGATTTTTGCACCTACGTCTGTCAAAGATATTGGCCCATAATTTTTTGTGTGTGATTTTGGAATCAGAATAATGCTGATCTTATGAGTTTGGGAGCCTTCCTCCTCTTCAATTTTTTGGAATAGTTTGAAAAGGGTAAGTATTAATTCTTCTTTGAATGTTTGGTAAAATTCACCTGTGAAGACATCTGGTGTAGGACTTTCGTTTGTTGGAAGTTTTTTGATAACTGGTTCAATTTCATTAGTAGTTATCCGTCTGTTCAGATTTTGTTTTTTCCTGATTCAATCTTGGAAGGTTTTATGTTTCTAGGAATTTATACATTTTTTTCCAGGTTGTCCAATTTGTTGGAATATAATTGCTTGTAGTATTTTCTTATATTCCTTGAGTGTCAGTTGTCAACTTCTGCTCTTTCAGTTCTGATTTTATTTATTTGAACCCTCTTTTTCTTGATAAGTCTGGCTAAAGGTTTATCAATTTTATCTTTTCAATAAAGCCATCTTAGTTTCATTGTTCTTTCCTATTGTTTAGTCTCTATTTCATTTATTTCTATTCTAATCTTTATGATTTCCTTCTCTCTACTCACTATGGGCTTTCTTCTTTTTTTAGCTCCTTTAGGTTAGATCAGGGGTCGGCAAACTTTTGAGGCAGAAGAGCCACCAGGGGTCAGCAAACTGTGGCTCGCGAGCCGCAGGCTCTGAAGTAAAATTGAAAATTAAAACTATCATAGTTTCATTTATAAAAATGTTAAAGGATATTATTCACATAATCGTGGTTATGTAAAAATATATTTATGGCTCTCGAATAATTTTTAAATTGTTGTGAGGGACAGGATTGGCTCTTCCAGGGATTGGCAAACTTTTGCAATGGAATGTACCCAAAGAACCACACGTGGCTCACGAGCCGCAGTTTGCCAACCTCTAGGTTAGATGGTTTGAGATTTCTCTAGTTTCTTGAGGTAAGGCCTGTACTGCTATGAATTTCCCTGTAAGAATTGCTTTGGCTGTACGCCACAGAATTTGAGTCATTTTCATTTTCAATTGTCTCAGGGTATCTTTTGATTTCCTCTCTGATCTCCTTGTTGACCCATTCATTTAGTAGTATGCTATTTAGCCTCCACGGTTTTTTCTTCTTGTAATCAATTTCTAGTTTCATACTATTGTGATCAGAGAATATGCTTAATATGATTTCAGTCTTCTTAAATTTACTGAGACTTGTATTGTGGCCTAACATGTAGTTTATCCTGGAAAAATGTTCTATGTGCATTTGAAAAGAATGTACATTCTGCTGCTTTTATGTGGAATGTTCTAAAAATACCTATTAAGTCCATCTGGTCTATTGTGTCATTTAAGGCCACTGTTTCCATTTGATTTTCTGTCTGGACATCTATTCATTGGTGTCAATGAGGTGTTCAAGTCCCCTACTATTATTGTATTATTGTTGATCTCTCCCTTTATGTCTGTCAATATTTGCCTTATAGATTTAGATGTTCTTACATTGGGTACATAAATGTGATTACAATTCTATCCTCTTGTTGAATTGATCACATATCATTATGAAATGGCTTTGTCTCGTTATACCTTTGTTTTAAAGACTGTTTTGTCTAAGTATTGCTACCCTAGCATTTTGTTTCCTTTTGCATGAAATATCTTTTTCTATACCTTTATTGTATGTGTGTCTTTCAGTCTGAAGTGGGTCTCCTGTAGATAGCACATGTACAGGCCTTGTTTTTGACCCTTTCAGCCACCCTATGTGTCTTTTAATCAAAGCATTTGGTCCATTTACATTTAAAGTAATTATTGATAGGTATGTAGTTATTGCCATTTCATTGTTTTCTGTTTTTGTAGTTCTCTGTTCCTTATTCTCTTGCATGTTGATAACTTTTTATAGTGTTGTTTGGATTCTGTTTGTTTTTTTCAAGATTTTTTTTTAAATTGGGGAATTGGGGGATGGGAACAGCGCTGGGGAGTTGGGAGAAGGGGAATAGACAAGTTGTTGTCGTTTTGTTCTTCAGTCTAGTTGTGGAGGATGTTGCTTCACTGGCCCAAGTTGGCACCATCATTGCGATCTTCCTGGCGAGGCAGATCAGTCACCGGCTTCTGGACGGCTGCTCACGCTGGCTGCCGGCTACACACAGTAGCCCATGGCAACCCACTGCAGCAGGGGTTGCAGCCTATGCCATCACCGGCGACTCATGGCAGCCCAGCTCCAGGTTGAGCTGTTGTTCAGCATCTTAGCTGTAGAGGGCAGTGTCACTGGCCCTCATATGTGGGATCCGAACTGGGGCCCTCTGGCGTCCCAAGCCAGCTCTTAACCAATGCGCCGCTCGGCCGGCCCTGGATTCTGTTCTGTTTATTTCTTGTATATCTTACAGATTTTTGGTTTGTGGTTACCACATGCTTCATACTTACCAACTTTTGTTTATATTGGGTTGTTGGAAATCATGACGCATTTTTGCAATGAAAAACATAGAAAAATACGTCAACCCAATAGGAGTCTATGTTATTGATGGTCACTTAAGTTCAAACATATTCTAAAATTGCTACATTTGTTGTCATTATTTTTACTTTTTGTGTGTATATCCCTTATTGTTATAATTATATATGCTCTTCCTACTTTTGTCTTTTAACCTTTGTTATAATTGGTTGATGCACTGCTTTTACTAAGTGTTTGCCTTTGTCAGTGAGAATTTTTCTTTCCCACATTTTATTTTTTTCTTTTCTATTTAAAGTTCCTTTAACATTTCTTGTCATGCTGGTTTAGTGGTGATCAACTCCTTTAGTTTTTCCTGTCTGGGAAACTCTTATCTCTCCTTTGACTCTAAATGATAGCCTACCTGTGCTGGGCTGGTTGCATGGAAAGCTCAACAAAAAAAACGGTGCTTGCCAGTGTTTCTGTCCCTGGAGAGTTGCCCCCTCCAGCCCATGCCCTGAAGTTAGCCGATTTAGTTCCTCATGTGTACCTGATGTTTTTTGAGCCCCTGTGGTGGTGTTTACAGAGTCTGTGCATGGGCCTTTTAAGAGCAACACCTGTCTCTAGCAGCTGTGTCTTGGATGCAATCCCTGCTGGTTTTCACAGCCAGATGCAAGGGCTCCTCTTCCTGGCACTGGTGCCCCAGGCTGGGGAGTCTGGTGTGGGTCGGGACTCTTTGCTCCTTAGGGGGCACCTCCTCAGTGGAGATATCCCTCCCATTTTTTAATGGCCACATCATTTTTTAATGGCCACATGTGTGAGGCCTTCCCAGTCTGCGTCTCCACCCTTACCAGTCTCAACGTGGCTTCTGCTTTATATCCTTAGTTACAGGGAATCTATTCAGCTAGACTACAGGTGGTTCTCAGTGATGATTTTTCTATAATTTAGTTGTAATTTTGATCATGGGATAAGGCGATCTCAGAGTTTACCTACTCCACCACCTTGACCAGAGGTCTATTTCTTAAATGATTTTTTGATTCATCAGTTTTACAATTCTAGGCTGCTCCATACAGCTGAAAGGCTATTTCACTTTCTCCCTATGAATTAATTTTGGAAACTTTCTTCTCTCGTAATCTATTTTCAAACCCACTATAGTTGACTTGCTACCTGTTGACATAGGGCGCACAGGTAAGACGTTCCTGAGGCTGCTCCTCCTGTTGGACCAGAGGGCAAAACCCGTAGACAGGAGTCAAGGCTTGAGTCTTAGGGCCTGTTCCACCACATCCTATGTCCCCATTTAAACAGCTCAAAATGCATTCAGAGAAACAGGGTACACTGGGAATAATGAGTATCACAGATGACAAAACAGATGGGTGCTTTATCCACACAACCTTCAGTCAGACTGCCAGTCCTGTCCACACAGTGTACTGTTTCCGACTCATTCCACTTTTATTTGCTCATCACAGGCCACTTCTCTCTCAGAGGTACACTATTTGGCATGATTGAATTCAACTGTTTTGAAAGCCAACACCACCATTCCTTGCCTGCCTGACAAGCACAAACCAGTGACACTTCATTCCTGCCATTTTCCTCTGACAAGCATGGAAGCAGATGGACTGGGTCAGGGTCTGGTGACAGCAGGTCTCTGAGGGTCTGAGACTTCAGCAGTCACTCCTTCCAGCCTCAGGAGGTCTGGCACAGCAAATCTCTCCCTCCTTGGTTCCACTGCATTCAAAGGCCAAAAGGCACAGATTAAGACAAAGGAAGAACCAGTAAAACAGAGACCAAGGATAAGCAAGATGACCAAAACCTCCAGATAAATTAAATCATCTTTATTAAAAATAAATACACATCTTACTTATAGGGAAGCACAAAAGTAAACTACCCTCCATACTTCCATATAGAAACCATTTAGAATACATTCATTCACAAAAGAAAGAAAAGATTTGTAGATCATCAAAACTGAAATTTAGTAACTTTAATATACATTGTTTCCTTGGAAAATAAAGACTAAAAGGTCAAAGATCATTTCTGCTCATTTTAGCAAACTCTCTAAGTAACCCCCACATCTTTTGGCTGAAAGGCCATGTCCTGAGAAGGGGCCCTCCCCGCCTTCCTCCTGCTCTGACTGACACTGGCTCTGTGTAGGGCTGGTCTGGGTCACCGGGACAAGAGAACTCAGCCATATCACCCGTTTTCTGCTAATTAACTAATGTGGTTCAGCTCTTCTGCAACGGGCAGGATGCTTCCTCAGGTGCTAGGGACTCGGAGTACATTTTCCAGTGTTTTCCAAACTCACAGTGTGTTCAAAGGGCCAACGCTGTGTCTGAAGGCTTTTACAAAAGGTTCCATCAGCATGCCCAAGTGCCCATTCATGGGACTCACAGCTTTGGCTGCCACAAAGGCTTGTTTCCTGTGCCCTTCACAGGGGGTGACTTCCCAGTTAAATGGCATTACAGACATTAGGTCAACAATGAAGAACTAAGGGGGCCCCAAAGTCTTTCACACCTCCGCCTCCTTACCCTAAACATACAAATACACAAAAGAGCTCTTCTTATAAATTCAGGTTCATCATCTGAGAGGTTGAAGCCTCCAGCGATTCTTCTAGCTCCAGGGCATACTGACTGTACGCTTCCAGATGTTTTCTCCAGATTTCAACTGGAAATGAGAAAGTGGCACAGCTGATGGAACAGGCAGGGACAGTCAGGACAGTCTCTACCAGAAAGCGCACTGCCTACTGGCTCAGTCCCCCAGATGGGGTCCGGCCTGGGCTCACCAACCCTGCTGCCTCCAACTGCATCACACCCCCCCTCCACCTTTGTGAGCAGCGCCACTCACCCTTTGGTGCTTGCTGACCTTGATACCTCCCACCAGGGACACAACTGTCCTCAAGGCCACCCTCTGTCCAGGGGCCATGTGGCCCGAGGTCCATCTGAGACACTTACTGGTCTGAGAACCCTCTTAGACAACGGCCAGGACTTAACCAGGCCCTCCGGAGCTGGTGCCACTGCGGACTGGCTGCATTGCTCTCCTGGGCACTCTGACTTTTTAATCAGTCCATGAAGACCTGGAGGACACTCAGCCCAGACTCAGACCCTCCCAGCACTCACTGTAGGGTGGCTCTTCTGCCCTGGCAGGAGCCAGGGAGCCATCTCCTGCAGAGCAGCTGGGGCCCTGTGCTGGCGGCCCGCCAGGGGCCTGGGGCCTGGGGTCTCCCGCCAGCTCCTGGCGCGTGTTCTCCAGCATGGTCTTGTACGCCTGCCGTGCTGCCACTGTCAGCTCGACCATCTTGTGGAACTGGTCCTTGGGCAGAAATAAGAGCACAGGTGACATCCCCGGACCACAGAGGACATGGGTCTCTTGAAAACCACACTGGGGCCCGCCCCAGAGAAATAGGGTGCCACTGCGTAGGGTGCCACCCCGAAAGAAGAGCAGGCTGCCTGAGGCGCCTCTGTGGCAGCACTAAGCCCAGAGCTAAATTCAGAATTGCACTTCCTTCATGTTGTTAAGGAGACAAAGGCCACCGAGGCTGGGCGACTCTGCTGGGCTCTGTCTGCAGACCAAGCCATCTGTCTGCCTCCTGCCCACGAGCAGTGCCAGCAGGCTGCAGCCCCTCCCAGCACACCTGGGCCCCGTCGTAGCTGAAGATCCCCACCACGCTGACAGGAACTGCCTTGTTCAGACTGCGCCCCAGAGCTTTGCGGTTGAGAGCGAACACGAAGGGAATGTTCTGGATGCAAGCGTAATCGATGATGGTGTGCAGGGTGTCGTCCAGCCCACCTGGTGAGGACAAGGAAAACGACAGGGAGACACATCACACGGGGCATGGTGGGGACACTGGTGGCAAAGGGTTTTTTTCTACAGACAGCAACACTCCCCAGCTACCTTCTTCACTCCCGTCAGTGGCCTGTGCCCCATGTCGCCAGGAGAAAACAGGTTACTGCAGTGCAAGTACACTTTTCTCTCGGCCACATGGAAGGAATCAGTCTCCAAAAGAGACACTATGTCACATCAACAGCTGGTGTTATGCCTAATAAGTCTTAGCAAATATTTACTGAATACTCACTAAATGCCAGAGCACTGGTCTGACTGCCTCACATCTTAGCCCGTATCCTCACAAATCCCTGAAAGGGGGGCTACCCTCCACTTACAGATGGAAATCCAGACCAGAGAGGTCACAAAGCAGAGGGGCCACACCGCTGGCCCCCCCACCATGAACACGCGTGGGCTCAGCACCCTCCACCCCCGCCTTGACTCCCAGCCTGGGGCAGCCACGGCTGGTGCTCAGGGAGAGTGGGGACAGGCACCGTGAGCAGGAAAAAGGGGGGAAGGATGTTTGGATGCAGGGACATGCCTGCTAAGCCAGAAACACAGCAGCACCAAGAGAACGACATATGGGACTGCACAAGTAACACACAGATCACTGGTCTGCACACATGTAGGCAGCATCCAGCTGGAACGCGTAACACCAAAATAACTCCACTCATGACAGCAACGAGATTAAATGTAAACAAACAAAAGATCTCTGCTCTTGGACAGAATGCTCCAAAATGATGACATGTCAATTCTACGTTAGCCTAAAACTTTGAAATACTGTAATTTACTACAAATGGGATTTTTAAAAAAAATAAAAAATATGAAAAGAATACACAAGTAAAAATAGCCTTTTCAAAAAGAAAAATAATATCAGGCTAGCATCATAAGGCACTGAAGCTGCTATAAAGCTATCAGCACGTAAAGAACGGGATTCAGCATGACAGAAGAGAGGGTCCAGGAATGACCCGAATACTTGGGGAGCTTGAACATGTGAGGAAGTGCATTTTGAAGCAGGGGAGAAGGGACAACTGGGTCCGCTTCTGGAAAGATCCGTGTTAGACTGAAATATATGCTACCTAAACAAATAAACATGAAAACGGGGGAAAAAAAAACACAATTAAAAAACCTTTAGTCACCTTGGAGTGGGAAGGTCAAGGGCTGACATGAACCTGGATGTGATAAAAACGTTAAGAATAAAAAATACCAATATATACACATCTAGTCCCTGCATGGCCAAAAAAGGTGAAAAGAAAACAGGCTACTGACAAACCAGAGAAACATTTACCACTCTTACCCAAAGGGCTAACTTTCCTATTATTAACAGGCGGTAACACCAATGCAAAAACGATGAACATCCCAAAAGGCAAATGGGCAAAGAGTATGAACCAACAGTTCACAGAAACACCATGCTCTTAAACAGTGAAAGGTGCTCAATTCCCTCCCAAATGAAATGCTATTTGGGGCAGGGGGCAAGGCAGGGCACACACAACCCGTGGGGCTGTGGTGTCTCTGTAGGTGGTGGGCACGGTCCTGCTGTCACACATACACATGCGCCCTTCCATTCTCAGTATGGAACCCAGAGATGTTCACACAATAACAAACCACATGCCAGATGCAGCCTCACTGAAAGGTGTGAAGTGTGAAAACCACCGATGTGCCCTCAGTAAAGGGACAGCACAGCCCTTCAGGAGCCACACAACCTGCATGTGCCAGCATGATAGGAGGGTCCCGAGACTGAAGCTATAAAACCAGGTGCACAGGGGTCCGGGAGGCCAGGTCACACAGTGTTCATACATATGCTGGACTATCGATGATACCTAAAAATCTGGCAACGGTGGCTTGTCTCTGAGCAGCTAGGGGAATTTGGGGAGTTCCCTCCTCAAAAGAAATAAAACCGTGGATTCCACCCCCCGCCTGGTGAGCTGTTTTCACTGAGTGTCTGGAAGTCACATTTGTCACATAGCTGCAGGTCTTCTGCATACAGACCGACTCTAGGTACAAATACACATCCGCATGAGAAGGAAAGACTCCCTAATACATCGCATTCCATGGGAACAAATTACATGATTACCTAATTTTCTTTCAATAGAGGAACTTCTCAAATGAACATCCCTTCCCCCCGTCCATGGGAACTGGAAACTCTCTGCAGCTGGTGTGACTGGGCATTAACTTTTAAGCCCACATCCCTTAATTTGTCCACCCACACTCCAGATCTACCTGAAGAATATAGTAAGAGGTGATGAGGAAGCAACCTCTGGGGGGTGAGAGGGGGGCGATGGCAGGGGAACATAAACTTCAAAGAAAAACACCAATTTTGGGTAGGCTGGGAAAAGGGGTGACAGGCAGAGGTGGGGTTCCTGAGATTTAATCAACTTACCAGCAGACACTGACCGAGCTCCCTAATGTCAGCCAAGTCACCCCACCCCAGGGTCTCTGTGCCTCATGTCCCTGCAGCCCTGGGATTGATCACATAGCAGTGTGCAGAAGAGCTACCCCAGCCGGCTCAGCTGCTGCTGTCCTTAGAAAGGCCTGCTTGTGCCACTGGTCCCCAGCTGGCTACAGAAGTGAGGTTTCTGGAGGGCTCCCACCACCTTATCTGATCAGAATGGCTACTATGCCTACGCTGCTTGTGGGAACAGTGAGGTTTATGCTGACACCGACTTCCTTCTGCGATTCTAGGGGCTTGGTATGTGCCGGGCAGAGGGTGCCCACGTGAGCGGACCCCAGTAAATACCCTGGGCACTGAGTCTCTCCCGAGATGTCCCACAGACAGCATTTCACACGTGTCGTCACAGTGTGCCCTGGGTGATTCCCCCAGGAGAAAACGTGAAGTGTGTGCCTGGCTCTCCTGGCTTTACCCCACACACATTTCCCTCTCTGACTGCACTGCGACCTTCCACTGCAATAAGTCACAGCTGTGAGGACAGCTCTACGTCTTCACGTCCTGGGAGTCCTCCGGCGTGTTACGGAGCGAGGATGGGCTCGGGGACCCAAGTCAGTGGTGTTGCTCACCAACCGCCTAGTCAGTTATTAGTGAGAGCTGAAAGCACCTCCAAGTGCAAATTCTCAAAGTCCCACGAGACAACTGAAAACAGGTAAAACGCTCAATCACATAAACAATTACCACTGAAAAGTTTAAGTTCAGAATTAGGAGATAAAAGACCGCTCTCTGAACAAATGCAGTGCTCTAAAAGAATCCACAGCTGTTAAAACTGAATTTTAGCTTTAAAATGACTGCACGTCATGGGCTATCTTTTCCAAAGAAGAAACACTTATAAGACATGTACTCACGTTCCTTATGCCTCAAAGCAAAAAAATGTAGGAACTGATGATTATGCAACGCATTTTAAATGCGTAACAAATCCTCACGATGCCTTTCAGTAAAATCGTAACTCAGTTCTCTGGCACAGTCAGAAGAGGATATATACCCATGTTGTTTGTTTGTTTAAAGATGTAAATCCACAGAAGAATGAAAGACCAGAGCAAAAAAGTATCTGAAAGCTGAAAAGACACTCAACTGACCTAGATGACCTAAGCCAACAGTGGAGAAAAGCTTAGATTAGAACCAGCCATCTATACCCTAGAATTAACAACCCAGAGTTCACCAACTGTCCGCACTGGGTGGGCACCCTCAGAAACCAGATGAAGTTCAGATGGTAGGCCTCGTGACAGCAAGTCAGTGTCCACTTCACCCAACCAATGCCCAGGCACGGCCCCTCCCGTGAGGCAGGGCGGCAGGTTCTCGGGACACCAGGTGCCACACCTCTTCCGGTGTGTGTGTGAGGACAAGCTGGGGGTGGGGGGTTTGAGGCCCCGCCCCCTTCCCTCACAGGAGATGGGAGTCTTCCTTCCCCAGAGAATGTGACCAGCCCCAGGGGCGTCAGAGAGACACCCTCTGGTCAGCAGCCCAACAGTCAGTCACCCCACAGCACAGGTTCTTAGACTGGGTCCTTGGAGCAGCAGCACCACCCAAGAACTTGCTAGAAATGCAAATTCAGGGGCACGATGGATCTGCACCAGCAGAACCCAGCTTCTGGGTGACTGATGTTCTCTAGTTTGAGAACCACTGCCCTCCGACGCAGCTCCCTGCGTTTAAATGTGAGCCCACCCCCAGATTTCTAGTCAGCTTCTGAGGCTAGTAAGGACAAGCTGATGCCTGAGGAAACCTCCACCCCGAGACCAAATGCAAACCACCTGGAGGAAAGAACGGCTCCACAGGGAGAAGGGAGTTCACGTCCCCTACCCACAAAGCAACCTCAGCTGTGACAAACATAATCTTCAGAGAACAAATATAACTCTCGGAAATGAAATATCCTACAGGAACTTTAGAAAACAGAACCCAAAGAAAGAGGTGAACAGAAGTGAAAAGTAACCAGAGGGTGCAGTGCGGAGGCCTGGTATCGGAGCGGCTGGTGGGGGGGGGGGTTCGAAGCACAGGAGTGAGGGTAACGATGCAAACCGTCCCACCTCCCAGAACCCAACCCAAGGACATTCCCCTAAGCTTCCAGAGATGAGGGAAAGCACAGGGGAAAACGTCAAGAAGCACAAAGACTGGATTTCAAGCCCCCGTCTCCCAGGTGTGCCCCGCACACCATTTCCACATAAGCCACTGAGGATGTGCTCAAGCTGACAAGGCGCACCCGAGACAAGGGGACGGGCAGGAGCTCACACACCACAGCCTGAGGGGTGGGGATTATATGTGTCTCTCTCTGTCCCCAGGACAGGTGAAGGCGCATCCGGGACAAGGGAGCGAGATGGAGACAGAAAAAACACACCACATCCAACACGATGAGGGGACGTCCCTAGGACCACAGGGGAAGACGCGGCGCAGAGCCTGGAACAATTTTAGGAGATGAAACTGCAGAATGCCTCGTGAACCATCAGGAGGTTTCAGCAGCTGGCCGAGAGCTGGAGGAGGGACTACTATTAGACCCCATGCCTATCCCAGGACTGTGATGGGGTCACTGCCAGTACACAACCAAGCCCTGAAACTCCTCTGCTGTCCCACTCCGACCGGCGAGGACTGGACCTGTCCCAAGCTAGGATGGGTCAAGCCTGGCCGGCTGGCATGGCCAGGTCCAGCGGCTGTTCTTGGGCCCCTGAGGGCAGCAGACAAATCAGGAAACCTCAAGTGTCTTCAGATGCAAAATGGCAGCTGGAAACCTCAGTGTGGAATCTGGACTAAGTTCCCTGCAAGTCTAACTCCAGTGAGTTGAATTTTACACCGTGGGAGGAAGGAACGGGGCAGGGGGAAGGAGTGTGAATGTCCAGGTGCAGGTAGAGGACTGGGGTCTGAGATGGCATTCAGTGCCTAACCACCAACCCCTTTACTGTGCAGCCTGAGACAGACATAAAATGGACAAGCTCAGGGCCCCTGGGCAGAGGTCAGATGGGAGTTCACCATCAATCACCTCGCCCAGCATTTCACATCCCACAAAACAGAACCAACCTTCCAGGGTCAATAAGACGGCCAAGTGCTTGGACAAACCCACACTTTAAAGAGTGGACACAGGAATTAGTCAGATGGAACCTGAGCATTTAAAATGGACAAAAGTCCAGTGCAGGCACTGCCTGGCTGCCAGTCACAGAACCTCTGTGGTTATGAGTAGCCAGTGACCCTCCCTAGCTCCAGGGCAAACCGGCACCGTGCCCAGCACAACGCGTGACAGACATACATCCTTCTCTGCTTCCAGAGGCCAGCAGGGGCTGCCGGGAACCACCATGAAGGCCTCAAAGGCCTGGCTGCCTCGCAGAGTAAAGCACATGGTGGGCAAATGAACTCCGGAAACAAATTACTCAATTAAAGGAAAAGGAACCAACAAAACTGCCGAGGCCTGGCTGCTGAGCGGGCATGGCGGGCCATGCGCCAGGGCCACCACGGCGTTACCTTTCGACTGTATCTTCTCACAGTTGGGAGAGATGATGACGCACTTCAGCTTTCGGAGCCTCAGGTGTTTCAGCACCTCCCTCAGCCCCAGCACAAGCCGCCGTTTGGCCTTGGCCTTGACGGGATCTTTCTGGTACATGCGGTCTTGGAAACGGACCAGCTCTTTCAGCAGATCCGTAACACAGGCGTCAACTTCTTTACTGAGCACCTGGCTGCAGTAACTGAAAGAAACACGAGATGCTATCAGCTCTCCACTGACTGACACTGCAGTGCTGCTCCCATCACACTGACCGAGAGGTGCGGGTAGCGTGCCCCCTCTCAGGAAATCACACTTGGACAAACAATACTAAGTCAAAGTGGGATTCCTGACTGGCTGAGTTTAATGATAGTAGGATCAAGGAATCCTCCCCCGCTGCCACCTACAAGGGAGAAAAACTCTGCACCCTTCCCTCCACCACGGCTTGCTAAGCTTCCCCCCATCTCAGCCATCCCCTGCGCACACCTCTCCTTGTGAAAACACCTGGAGAGTCTGCCCTGGAAGAAAAGTGGGAGGGAGGGGGCAGAGCTCCCTAAGAAATCATGCAGAGAAATGAAATCATGAAAGGGAACCCGGATGTAACATGCTACCACTCACCACCCACTCCCCCAACCAAAATGGATTATGAGCACCTCTGCCGTGCACCAGCAGGGCAAGAGACCTCGTAGAAGCAGATTTAATAACCCAGACCTGTGCTATGATTAGGTACCTGGTCACCTTCTCCAGGAGGATAAAAACACTGGGCCCAGCCTCATGGCTTTCTAGTCTGAGCACATCCAAGTGGGGAACCCACGCCCAAAGCCAGAGAACCCCACGACCCCAGTCCCCTGCGGGCTCACTCACTCCCTGAATCTCCGGCTGTGGATCTTGGGGCAGCTGGTGGTGTTGGGGACCAGGTGGGAGGTCTCCTCCTCCTCATGGATCTCAGCTCCCAGTGGCTCTTCTGACTTGCTCATCACCACAGGAGCAGAACACACGGACACTTCTGGTTCCCCTAGAGCTTCACAGAAAAAAAAGTCATGACACAGCATCTGTGGGGCTTGGGCGAAGGATGCCCCAAGGCACCTTGCAGGGCAGTATCATCAGGGCAGCCATGTGCAGCCCCCACAGCCACATCCAGACACTGCCAAGTATCACAGCGGAGTGATAGGAATGGCTTGGGAAAAACAGAAGACCTGGCAACTTTCTGTTCTGCCCAGAAGTGCCTTCCTGACCCCAATTTATTTATTTATTTTATTGTGGCAAAATAGTTATAAAATTTACTACTTTAACCATTCTTAAGGAAGTGATTCAGTCAGTAGCCAAATTTATTCTTAAATTCTGAAATTTAAACTGAAGTTTCTATCAGGAAGTCTTAAACACAGGTTTTTAGCTCTAATTTTTGTACACTTAAATGCTAGAGACTATTCCTTTATCAAATAATCCTTAAATAAGAGTGAACTCAAATATCTAAATTATGAGCCTCAAGGAATGTGTTTAAACATATCAGACAGGGGTCAGTAACTGCTACGGTCCCCAAAGGTCCTTCTAGAGCAGCGGCTCTCAACCTTTCACAGGGGTCGCCTAAGACCATCAGAAAACACATATTTTCGATGGTCTTAGGAACTGAGACACCACTCCTCTATCCGTCTCCAGGCCCACATGCAGATTCACCCACATACGAGTACCCGGCGACCCTTGGGTCGTTCGACCCCCAAAGGGGTCGCAACCCACAGGTTGAGAACCGCTGTTCTAGAGACTTCCAGAGTGCAAATGAGGTGCCAACTCAACAGAGAAGAAATTCAGGAGCCTATATCACACCCGCCAGGACGGCAGACATGACAAAGACAATGTCTGTCAAGCTGGCCTCTCCCCACCAGTGGGCGGAACTGGTGACACAGCTGGAAGCCTGTGTGGCAGAAGCCTCCAAGGCTGGACAGCAGTGAACCCGAGCCTGACATCGCCAGGGCAACGCCAGCAGGAGGCAGTGCTCACATCCTCAGTGCGCGCACATGCACACACACACACACACACACACACACACACACACTGCCACAGCGACCCTGCGTCTAATGGCCCCGAAGTGGAAGCTCCCCAACCCCCCACCCCAACCCCACCTGTCACCTGGCACATGCATACACCTGGACACTGTGCAGCAATGACAACGAGGAACTGCCCCATGGGCCACAGACACACTGCTGGCCAGGCCTTGGGTGGGACACGGGGACCGTGGGGCTGCTCTGCTCCTAAGGCTGGTGCTGTGTTCACTTTGTGAGTCCTCAAGCTATATGCTATGATCTTGTACTTTTCTGAATGTATCATTCAATAAAAAGCTTAGGAAACATTTTCTTTTTATGACACTGTGTCTCATACACTCATAGGAAAGCACCTTTGCAGTTAGTGGGGTTAATTCTCACAGCTACTTCATGTCGCGAGAACCCTCCCATGTCACACAGATGAAACTCAGAGCCCTCATCTATCCCTTACAGATCCCAAGAAGCAGAGGCAGCAGAAGCCCTACCGTCCATGGGGACACCCTCTTCCTGTCAAGTTGGGAGTCTGAAAACTTCTGTGTTCTTGGGGCTCAACGCTGACTTGCTTTGACCACAACGGGGCCTGGGGTTGGCAGAGCTCCGGTGATCTGCTGCACACGCTGCCCCCACTGCAGGACTCCTTAAGAAGCAGCCAACAGAACTCCGTACCTAAGGGCTCAGCCTGCTCGAGGGCCAGGTCCTCACCACCGCTCTCTGTATCTTGCACATCATCACTGGCAAAAGCTGGGCTCTCAGCATTTTCTTGGAGACGCTGCTGCTTTCTCTCCTGCCGTTCTTTCAAAATAATCTTTAAAAAATTGAATGATTAAAACACCTAAATACTTATAAAAATAAAACAAGCCACTCTGCAAAACAAGCCACTCAAGGTTAGGATACTGGCAATGTACCTGTCCACGCCCTCAGTGGCAACAGGACCCCCACCGACCGGGGGGGAAGACCCAGGAGCAACACAACCCCGCCAGGTGCACAGAGCAGGGTGTTGCGACCTGGGATCTGAGGCAACTGTGCAGCTCAGTCACCTGGCCCCAAGCAAGACACTCGTTCACCCATCTGCAACCACACACCACAGGCTGCTGAGAATTAAATGAAGAAACATGTGACAGCCCTGAAGGAATGTCTGCCAGGAAGTGTCCAAAATGCACCGGCTCTGAGGAGCAGACCGATCACACTGGGTAGGATGAGGGGACAAGTGAATGAGAACATAACTACCCCCATTTCTGGTTTTCAGTCCATGTCACTGCTAAGTTTTTAATTAATCTCCAGTAGCTGAGGCCACTCCCTTCGCACACCCCACTGTCACTTGGGGGACAGGGAGTGAGGGATCATTTCTCAGAGCATCATCCTCTAGAGCAGCGGTTCTCAACCTGTGGGTCGCGACCCCTTTGGGGGTCAAACGACCCTTTCACAGGGGTCGCCTAAGACCATTGGAAAACAAAAAGATATTTACATTACGATTCATAACAGTAGCAAAATTACAGTTATAGAGTAGCAACGAAAATAATTTTATGGTTGGGGGTCACCACAACATGAGGAAGGAACTGTATTAAGGGGTCACGGCATCAGGAAGGTTGAGAACCGCTGCCCAGAGCATGAAAACCTACAGCCTCCCAGCTGAAAGAATACTAGGTTTTCTAGAGCCCACTTTCCACGGCAACACCACTCACCTTCTTCAATGAGGTCGGCTTCTTGGCCTTGGGGACCTCCCTCTGCTTCCCCTTCTTTACCAGAGGGGCGCTGGAGTCCAAGGGGTTGTGCGGGGTCTTCACTTGGCTGGAGTGGTGGCACTTCTTCCCCGATGTGGCCTCTTTGGAGAGGACGGGCACTGCCCCGACTGTAACACAGTGAGAATGCATGCCTCAGGAAGGGCTCCCCCAGGTCTCAGGCACTCCTCCTGCTGTCCCGCCCATCCTCACCACCTTACCCATCTTCATCCAACTGTCCCTTAGATAGTCTTCTAATTGGCAATTGCTGCCACTGAAATTTAGAGTATTTTTTAGTAGGGATCCAAAAAAATTATGAAGTAATTTGGGAAGAACCATCTTCCAAACCCTATAATCAAATCTTCTGTTTCCTAGTAAAGTCTAACAATGTGTGATCTCATCTTCGACTGAGGACATTTCTGGTAGTTGGTACTTACAATGGCCTGCCCTTTGGAGTAAGTCTCCCTCCAACACTTTCAGTTGACACCACCTTTACAGAAGTTGGCTGTTGGTGTCCATTTGCCTATCTTCTACATAGCTATCTTGTAAGGCACTTATAAGAGTCTAGTAATGTTTCTAGTTGCTTCTCTTGTATTTTCCACACATAATCTCAAATCCCCTCATTGTGCAGTATGTAACAATCCCTCCACAGTCAACACGTGATGATCACTACTCAATACTTCCATTGCATTCTCTGGTTCTGCTCCACTTCCTACGCCTTGTTCCTGCTCCCAGCACATAATCTGTGCATACTTTCCCCCCTCCTCTTTAATTAGGAAAATTTCCAACACACACCAAAGAAAAGATAACAGTATAACAACAAACCTCATGTACTCGCTGCCCAGCTTAAACCATCATCAATATTTTTCCAAATGTATCTGCCCACATTCCTTAAGTCTGGAATCTAAGTTGCTGGTGCTTTGTCAATCTGGTATGCCCACTGTCTCACCTGGCTAATTCCCCGATGCGATGCAGAACTTTGTCCCATGCCATTTCTAGCCTTGGCTATGGCACAGCTGCTGGCCATCTGTGGAAACTTGCTCCCATATTATGTTTGAAATGTACCTGTAACTGGCTTGGTTCTTGTCATCAGCTCTTCTTGAAAAACAAAACATACCAACCCTGCGCACATCTGCTTGCTCTCCCCATCCCTAATGCCACCTCCAAGTTCAGGACCTCAGCTGGGCTCCTGCAGTACCCGCTGCCCAGGCCCTCCAGCCCTGGTGCCTCCTGTCAGCACCCTCCACATCCTGCTAACATGGCACCAGTGGGCCTGGGGAAGGAGGGTCCCTTCCCAGCAGACACCCCAGTAAAGGCTCTGGCCCATTAACTCCTCCCCTCCTGTCCTATGCCTGCTGCCCACCTGGTGCTTTCCCATGTGGCCCTACATACTATGCCTCCTGTCTCCAGGACATGGAGTATTATAAGCTTTGTTTTCTGAGCTTCTCCTATATCTCCTCTTGTGGCCACACCTGACTGACCATCTCATCAAAAAATACATAACAAGCCCAAGGCTAACTGCTGAGGAAAAGTTGACTTTGCCATTAGTTATCCCATAAATTACCAACTTTCACCAAAGTCCCTGGACTGGTCTGACAACATTAACACACAGTAACAACACTGCAGGCCTTTATCAAACAGAAGACGAGCTGAGAGAAGCAGCTCTGAGGAAAGACTATCTAAGGGGGCGGTGGTCCCAAGCTTCGGTATAGTTTCCCCCTTAACCACGGTTTTGCGTTCCATGGTTTCAGTGACCTGGGGTCAACCGTGATCCAAAATGGTTAAATAGAAAATTCTAGAAATACACAATTCGTAAGTATTAAATTGTGTACTATTCTGAGCAGTATGATGAAACCTCACGCTGTCCTGCACCATCCTCGCCCAGGAATCCCTCGCAAATCATCCCTTTGTCCAGCGTATCCACACCTGTTAGTCACTTAGTAGCTGTCCCAGTTATCAGATCCACTATAGCAGTAATGCACTGTTTGTATTCAAGTCACCTTTATTTTACTTAATGGCTCCAAAGCGCAACAGTTTACCGTTTATCATTGGTATGTGTGCACAGGAAAAAACATAGTATATATAGAGTTCAGAACTACCCGTGGTTTCAGGTACCCACTGGGATCTTAGAACGTATCCTCCGTGGACAGGGGGGGCCTATACACTATATAATACTCAGACATGCAATGTATGAAACTATGGGTCCTGATATGAACAAAACTACCAAAATGGTTGAGATAAGCCAAGCAAGGGAACTTAAATATAGACTGGATACAAGATGATAACAAAAAACAATAATATTCAATGAGAAGAGGCTGGGTGGTTCAGTTAAAAATAAAATCACCATCAATTAGAGATGGCGACTTGGGTACTTACAGGTAAAATAACATGATGTCGACGAGTTGCTTTAAAATACTTCAGAAAAAAAAGCTTCTTAACCATTTCCTTGGGTACCTATTTATTTATTTTTTTTTTAAATAAACTGCCTTGAAAGGAAGAAACACACTTAAAAGACTATGGTGGCAAATGTGCGTATTTCATTCTATGACATGTTGACAATTTTAACTGTCTTGGCTCTAAGAGAAGACATTTCAGAGAGAACGACTTATCAGAACTGAGCCAACACTGCTGGGCTGCGTCCCATGGACAGGCAGGTAATTCATTTCTATCAGATGCAGCTTTGTAACCTGTACTGAGCACTTAAGTATTATGAAATTTTCAGATACACAATGTTGTCATATTTATTTCTTAAAATCATCATTTAAATGACTTGTAAAAACTTTGTGCTAGAATACACGTAACATAAAATCTACTCTTTTCACTGCTTTTAAGTGCACAATTCAGTGGCATCAATTACATTCACAATGTTGGGCAACCATGCTATGTATGCACTTTGAAAACTTTTTCACGCCCCAAACTGAAAATCTGCCCCTTTAAATGATTAATTCCCCATTCCCCCGCCTCTTAACTCCTGGTAACCTCTACTCTACTTTCAATGAATTCGCCTATTCTAGAATATTTCATGTAGTGGAATCATACAATATTTTTCTTTTTGTGTCTGGCTTACTTCACTTAGCATGTTTTCAAATTTATCCTGTTGTTGCATGTATCAGAATTTCCTTTTTTTTAAGGCTAAATACTATTCCATTGTGTGTACAGAGCACATTTTGTTTATCCACTCATGTGTGTGTTGATATACATTTGGGGTTTTCCTCCTTTCAGCTATTATGAATAATGCTGCTGTGAACACTGCGATACAAGTGTCCGAGTGTCTGTTTTTCATTATTTTGGATAAATACAGAGGAGTGGAATTACTCAGTCACGTGGCCACTCTGTCTCTAGCATTCTAAGGAACCACCAAACTGTTGTCCAAAGGAGATGCATCGTTTTACATCCTTGCCAGCACTGGTTATTTTCCGTGGTTTTACTTCCAGTTTCCAGAGTAGGTATGAAGAATGATCTCACTGAGGTTTTTTTTTGACTTGTGTTTCTCTAATGACTAATGATGATGAGTGTCTTGTGGAGAAATATTTTTTCAAGTGCCTCTACCATTTTTTGAGTTTGCTATTCAGTTATAGTTATTATATATTTGGATATTATACCCTTATCAGGTATATGATTTTCAAATATTTTCTCCCATTCTGTAGGCTGTGTTTACACTTTAATAATGTTCTTTGGTACATAAACGTTTTTAATTTTTATAAAATCCAATTCATCTATTTTTCCTTTTGTTGCCTGTCCTTTTGGTGTCCTATCTAAAAATTCGTTATCTAATCCAAGGTCATGAAAATTTACGTTTTCTTCTAAGAGTTTTATGGTTTTAGCTTTTTTTTTTTTTTTTTAATTTTATCGGGGAACTAGGGGAGGGGAACAGCATTGGGGAATTGGAGAAGGAGAACAGACAAGTTGCTGTCCTTTTTTGTCTTCAGTCTAGTTGTGGAGGATGTCGCTTCACTGGCTCATGTTGGTATTATCATTGCACTCTTTCCGGGTGAGGCAGATTGGTCGCCAGCCACTGGACAGCCGCTCACGGCGGCTCTTGGCAGCTCACGCTAGCTGCCGGCCACTCACGGTAGCTTACTGCAGCTCACTGCAGCTTACGCCTTTGCAGGCAGCCCAACTCCAGGTTGAGCTGTTGCTCACCATCTTAGCTGTAGAGGGTACAGCATCACTGGCCCATATGTGGGATCCGAACCAGGGACCTGCTGCTCAGAGCTGGTGTCCCAAGCCAACTCTTAACCAACGCACCACTCAGCCGTCCCTGGTTTTAGCTCTTATATTTAGGTCACTGATCCACGTTGAGCTAATTTTTGTTTATGGTGTGAGGTAGGGGTCCAACTTCATTCTTTAGCATATGGAAATCTAGTTGCCCCCAGAAACATTTTTTAAGAGATTGTTCGGGCCGGCCGAGTGGCGCGATGGTTAAGAACTCGCTTGGGATGCCAGAGGGCCCCGGTTCGGATTCCACATATGAGGGCCAGTGACACTGCCCTCCACAGCTAAGATGCTGAACAACAGCTCAACCTGGAGCTGGGCTGCTGTGAGTCGCCGGCGACGGC